GAAGCAGCTTGTCTACAGTGGATTCAATTCACATTCTCAGTGGCTGGAGAGTGAGAAGCCTGTGGTCAGAAATCGCTCTGGTGGGGGCCGGAAATGAGTCCCCTCTTTTGGAAACAGGTCTCCTGTCTTTCTACCTGGTCCCTGGGAATCTAGAATCATCGGGTGGGAGCCAGCCTGACACCGGGACTTCCAGCTCTGTGCTATAGCCCCATCTCAGATTTCCTCCGAGACCACACAATTAGCGAAAGAATTGAATCAGACCCGAGAGCTCACTGTATTCCACCCTGTCCTTTCTCAGATAGAAAAACAGAGGTCCGAGGATTGGAACCTAATCCTTAAATCCATGCAGGATATTAGAGGCCCGTGTGTCTTAGTGCCTGGGTCCCCTGACATACCCTGTGAGTCTCCTACTCTAGCGTCTAGCTCTCTCATGCCTGGGCCTCAGCTCTCCTTCCCACAAAGCAAAACCAGCTGGGATTTGCCCCCAGCCTTTCACAAAGTTGCTTGGAAATCCTTGGAAGAAGCATTCTACAAAGTCATTTTCATAGGGAGCTTCGCAGTGCCCTGGCGTGCAGTAGATGATAACTCAGTAAATCATGACAGCTGCTTTTGTCGAATTCCTTCCCCATGCCAGGGACTGCAGAGTTTGTGTGTGTTATCTAACTTAATCCTCCCGACCTACCGGTGCAGAAAGGACCTTTTTGGTGTTCATTATAAAGATAAAAGAACTGAGGCGTAGAGAAGCCAAGTGCCTCACTTACAAAGCCTGTGAACACGCACGCACCCACGTGCCTTTGTTTACAGAGCTGGCTGCCTATTATTTCACCTAATCCTCTGATGACAGGTGTCTTTATCCCTGCTCTACCCATGAGATTAAGTGATCTGGGGACAAACCAGAGCTGGAGAAAGTCCAGGAGGTACTATATGATCACAGCCGCCTGGGGCCTCATTCCCACCCTGATACGTTGAACTAGAATCTTTGGTGAGGTTAATAATCTAGACTCTGTGCTTTTAGACATGCCCTTGGTGATTTTAATATGCAGCCCATTAGAAGCCATCTATCTAGTTCGAGAATTCATTTTATGGTTGGGTAAACGAAAGCCCAGGGAGAAGACGTTGAGTTTCCCACAGTTATCTTACAAGTTAGCAGGGACAAAGGAAAAGGAAAGGAAAGCTCTGGAGGGTCTTGCGTGGGGCCCACACGCTGACTCAGACATGCTGCTTGTCCCTTCATCTCCTCCCTGATCTGTCAAAACGAATTAACCCAATTTTGCTGGTAAACGGACAGTCACAGCAGGCAACAGGCTCCTCTTGGGAAGCCCATGAAGACCAGGGCTGCGTCCCTCCGGGATGCGGGCATGAGTCAATCCGGAAGGGAGGCCACCTCGTGCAGCAGGGGGTGGGCGGGGGCAAAGGGACTCTAGGTCGAGTGTCTGAGCGGGCGGTGAAGAGCACCCTTTATGGCCTCAAGGTCAGCGGCAGCAGCTGTGTGTGGGGCTGGGGCTGGGGTGGGGTTTAGTTCACCCCATTAACCTTCCCCTTGCATGCTTTCCAGAAGAAACAAGGCTCAACACATTCCTGGGTGGATTTCCAAAGCACATTCCATAAACACGTGGATCCGGAGCGTGCAAAGGGTGGGTCCCCTAGTGGAGCCCGTGGTGGAGAGCTGTCCCCGTCTTCCCCTCCCAGGGTCACAGTGCTTCGTCCCCAGCTGCTGGGCGTGTTGGCAGCCAGCAGCCCTCAGCTGAGTTTCCTCTTGGGACCCAGGCCCGGCTGAAGACAGTCGCCTTGCCCAGAGTGCTGTCCTGTTGCAGGAACAGCCTGCAGCCACGCAGGATGGGATGGGATAGGAGAGCCTGGTCCCTTGCCCTCACTCGGGTTGTTGCAGTTCTAAAGCTCCCCGTGGGATTGCTGGGGAGGTGGGCTGCGACTGCACCACAATGCAAATTCTCCCTCTGCTCGGTCCTGCTGCCCGCTCTCTCAGGACACGCTGCGTGACCATTTTCGTCTAAGAGTCTGCTTCCCAGAGAAGCCAGCTGGTGACATCCCTGGCTCCTGGCTGGGGCCCGTGTGCCATCAGAAGCTTAAACACCTGCAGCGCTTTGCACCTGCGGTGACACACCCCAGAGGTGGTGATGCTGTTCCCAGTTGGAGGTGAATTGGGTTCAGGATTCCTTGAAAGAGAAGAGTGAAAGCTCAGCATAGAGATGCCAGCAAATTCTATTTGGTTTCTCGCAAAAAGAGGGCACCTCTCCCCTCTGCACCCACTTCTTAATTCCCCTGCCAAGACCTGGCACCTGAGGGTCTGCAGATCCCAGTGAGTGATTCTGTGGCCTCCCATGGCTGGTGCATGCCTCCACGACATGCTGGGATTTGGAGGTACATCCCCGATGGGTGCTTAGGGCTGAAGTCTGCCAGGCTGTAGGAAAGGCAGAGAGGCTTTCTGTACCTGTAAGGAGGGCCATGGATTGCTCTGAGTGGAAACTGTTCTATGGAGCCTCCAGCAGCTCTCTGATGGCTCCTGGTTTCCCTGGCTTCCACCTGAGGCTCTCGCAGAGAAGCCTTCCAGAAATAGAGTGGGTGCACCAGTGACCTCAGCCCTGTCTGACTTGGGACTGTGACTATAAACCCTCTGCCAATCTTTCCGGCCCCAATAAGTAAAGCTAGTGATGTTTTCCAAGAGAATGCTCTCAGAGTAAATATCATTGGATTATTGGTCAGATACTTTGAAAGATATTATTAATATTATCCCTTCTCTGGATGGGTAGATCAGAGCTCTTCCTAGAGCCCAGTGACATTCACATCGCTTTGTGCCACAGCCACCACATGGAGGGGCACAAGGGGACTTCAGTGTGAATGGTGCCCCAGAGAGTCAGGCAACACAGTGGCCCCGCTGGACAGAGCGTGACACAGCAGGTGACTGGACCTCCAGATGGGCAGCCTCAGACCATGCAGAGTTCCATCAGCAGGACACCCGTGACCGTTTTCTACTCTTAGGGACATAGTTGGTCTCTGGGGACAGGTGCAGGGGTCACATGACTGATAGAAATGTTGGTTGGATTTCACATGCTGAAGGGGAATCCTGAAGATGAGGTCTTGTCCATTTGAATGGCAGCTCTCAAGCTTATCAAGTTAGGATGTAAGGGATGCCTGATGGAAGGGAATTTTCTGGGTCTAAGCAGTGAGCCTTTAACCGCAGCTTTGTGAGGTTCTAGAAGTTTCCATGTCACTGTCCACAACGTTCAGCATTCTACCCTGCCTTGGCCCATCCTGCTCCCAGTTACCTTTACCCCTCCCCACCTACCAGGACTCTGGTTCCACCCCATTTCCTCGTGCCCATACACTGCACAGTGTGCCGACTGCTTCTCCCTTCCCCCACATCTGGGCCCACTGCTGCCGGCTGCCTGTCCTAAGGCCCTGTGGTCGTGCCACTCCTTCCTCCCCACCAAATCACGATTTGCAATGCCTGCTATTACCAGGGTGACCACATGCTCCAGTTTGCGGGGGATAGTGTTCCTTTATATCTGTTGTTCCATAATAATTACTATCAGTGTCACCTTTTGCTCTCAAATCTTCCTAACTTGGCTGATGAAAATCATACATTCATCTTACTTATTACTACCTGAATGGAGCCAAAACGCCCCACCCTGACAGTGAGAAATAAAACTAAAAATCCTAAGCCATCCAAGCTGACTCAACAAACCTTTTCTTAGCCAAGGGGACCTCAGAGAAACCTTAAAAGCTAAAATCCCAGCCACGATAGGATAGGAGGCCAGACATACCTCATACTACCCCTCCCTCGATATCTCCGCTAAGCTTTCTTCCCTAAGGCTTAAACGGAACCCACCCTTTGCAAAGACTCGTTCCACCGCTGACTTCAGCCGATGCCTAATGCTGTTCCTCCCTTTTGTGGTTTCAGCACAACCGAGCAGCATTTCTTCCTTATAAGAGGCCACAAACCGTGGAGTGGAATTGGCCAGTCTATGGAGGGTGTGCACAGAGGGGTGTCATGTCCCTGCTTCACCTTTTGAGATCAGAGGGCCAACTCCACCCTCGGATCACACTAAGGCCACTTTTTTGTGCACGTGACTTGTGAAGGGGCATGAAGCTCAGTTGTGCATGTGCAGGTTTCTCTTTTCATAAATATTCATGACTCCTCCTATAGCTTGTTAAATATGGACATTCAGCCCCCCTGCTTGGCATAAATTCCTGTTCCCCTTACTCTTCCCTCAGAGTGCTTGCTCTCTGCTTCTGGCTGAAGGCCATGCTCGCAGCCTGCAAGATGGCCAGCCTGCAGGCTGCAATGCTTTATGAGGAATGAAGGTCTCCTTTTCACACTTAGGGAGCTCCTCGTTCTTCAGTTGACAACAGCCTGGCCTCAAGCTTCTTTCCAAATTTCCCCACCACCTCACGTCTCACTCCAACCCTAGACACCTCTGGATGGGCTCCCACCCCGTTTGATAAGCACATCGTGACCATCTCTACTCCTTGGTATTTGCTCAGGCAATATCTCTTCTCTTCGATCGAGGCTGAAATACCTCTAAGAGAGCCCCACTGTGTGCATCCACCAAGACCTCATTTAAGTTCCATCTGGTCCATAAAGCTTTCATCCAAACCTCTGGTCAAGGGTCATCTAGCCCTCCTCTGCCTTCCCAATGTCTGTAATGTAGGTGCAGTCTGGTCGGAGCAGGGTCGGGGACAGGGAGAAAACCACAAGGCTATTGAAACAGGTCACAGGAGAAGCAAGCAGCTGCTGAGGAATGAGTGGCTGGAGTAGGTGGCATCTGTGAAACTGCTGTTGAGACCGGGAACCAGAGGCCTGGGACGGGTTTGTCAGTTTCACCCTGGATCTCAGAGAAGACCAGCCACACCCAAAGGTCACTTCTAAGGACCACAGTCCCCACCCCATAAATATGCCTCGCCCCACCCTCAATGCCATCCTCCTCCTCCCCCTCAGCGAAATGTGCATTCCCCACACACAATAAAATGCAACTGCCAACTACAATAATATATGCATATATTGTTTACATTCCTAAAACAACATTTACTTCCATTTAACATGATAAGCCACGCACTTTAGGTTTACAAGAGCAATGTTGTCCTAAAATCACAAGCCACTTTCACACTGCTGATCTTTACCAAGAGTCCAGGGAGGTGGGGAGGAGAGGCACCATGGTGCCCACACTTGGCAGGGGATGGAATTGGGGCTCACAGCAGGCAAGGGACCTGCTCCAAGCTTTGCATTTTTTAAATGATAGATCAGTTTTAAAACTCCAATAACTTAAATGCAATATATTTTTCAAAAATTATTAAATAAAACTCATCCCTTTAGAAATAATAATAATATCTCAGAATGCGTCTTAGGATGGGAAAACAAATCAAGCATTTCTGAGGCTTTAGTTGGGTCTCAAAAAAGGTGACTATCTATGGCTTTGGAGTCGAGGACTTTTGGTCCAGGTACTTCATGGCATCCCGGACCCACTTCTCTGTGGGGTCAGCACACACCTCCTTGGCCAGTTTGGTCTTGAAGCTGTGGGTAAGAAAGGAGGCAGTTAGAAGGATTTGAAAATATTTGTACCCCCATAATATGAAGTAATAAAAAAAAAAAAAAAGAAAAGAAAATTCTGCTCATATGACCCTAAACCTTTCAGGACCATTTGCCATGGGGCAGGGGGGTTGCGGGCGTGGGAGAGGAGGGAGAGGGCAGAGGAAGGATGGGACTCCAAGGTCAGTGCTGCTGGCCCGGTAGAACCATCTTTCCTCTTGACTCGAAGGAACTAATATGACCTGCTCAAGTTCCCAGGCAGGGAGCTGGGAGAGAACATTTACTGCTGTGAAGATTCGCAAATCGGATGGATTTGGAATCTTCCGGTGGAATGGGTGGAATGGTCTGACTCCAAATAACTCTGACACAGTTCTTGACTCTGTGCCTTAGACACTCATTTTTGGTCCAGGGCAGGGTGAGCATTGTCTACTTACATCACAGCTTTCTGGGGGCATTTGCTGCCTGTGATCCTTTTGTAGCTCTTCAGTCGCTGGAAGGAGATCTTCCTGGGGGCCATGGCAAAGCAGCAGGTGGCCGGGGCAGTGGCTAAATTTTGGGGTAAAATGAACAGAAAGAATGAGCCTCTGACAATAAGCAGCTATTTCCAAGCGTGAGCTTGTAAGGGAAGGAGGCAATTAGGAGAGGGTGAGGACTTGGCAGGAGGTGGAGGTAGAATCCATCAGCTCTGGCATCCTGTCCCTCTGCCCGTGGCTCACTGCTGACAAGCTATGGAAAACGCTTGGTCCGCGTGACAAGCTGTGGCTCTGTCATCACAAGGAGCTCTGTGGCCGTGGGATAGTCATGGTACCATTCACCAAATAGCCTCCATTCTCTGCTCTCCGGACACAAGGTAGACTTGCATTTCTCTACCCCTTCTGTGTGCTTGGAGCCACTAATCAATTTTGACCAATAAGGGAGGTGACACGTGCCATTTCTGAGCCAGAGTGTGCTGCCTAGGCAAGACCCTCGAGAGCTTTCTTTCACTTTGTCACAGTAGCCAACAATGTCCCCAAGGGCACTGCTCCATCGGTTTAGAATCCCGGGTATATATAATGCAGAAGCCGGAACCCATACGTTACAGAGGTTTAGTACGAGTGAGGAATGAATCTTTGTCAATTTGGTTCATTTTGCTAGGCCATTGAACATTCAGCCTTGCTCATTTACTATAGCATGCAGCTAGCTTGACCGACACACTCAGTAAACATAAGCCATCAGAGGATGGGCGCATGAGTTACGGAACAAACTCCTAGATATTTTTCCCAAGCAGAGTCAAAATAAGTCACATTGAGAGATTTTCCTGGGACCCCAATCCCCTTCTCTTAACCACTGTCTCTGAAAACTGTCCTGGAGTCTAGTAAACTTTCTGGGCTTCCAATCAACAGATTTCCCCAACTCCCCCCAGCCCCCCCAAAATGCCCACCATGCACACAGTGAGAGAGGGTCTTTCTTTTGCGTGCCCCACCCCCAAACATTGTAAATGCAGCTGGGTCGTCCCTTTCGGTACTCTTATTCCGATGGCAGGACGTGAGCACTGAACGTGTGGGGACCGGCCTCGGGGACCTGGGCTTCTAGCTCTGGCTCTTCCAGCAACTGGATGAGAGGTTGGGGCATTTCTTGTCCACTCCTGAGGCCTGCTTGCCCATCTTTAAACTGCAGAGTTTGCAGTGAGCCTTTAAAGATCCTGCTCTGGAGGTGGTTAACTTTCCCTGCAAGGGGCTGGGGCGGGGAGGGTCCTTACCTGGCTGAGCGAGGCCCTGGGGGCTGAAGGTGGCTGCCAGGAGCAGCAGGCTGAGGAGTCCTGCAGAGACCTTCATCCTGGAGTCCAAGGGTGAGGGACCAGCGTCAGGGAGAGTGTGGGAGGTTTCTGTGTCAGTCTCAGCCTCTGCTCCTCTGGCTGCGTCGCCTGCCTTTTATAGAGAGCAGAGAGGGTGGGAGCTTCCAGGGAAGCCTTTGCATGGATAAGGTCGTGGTAAAGAGGGGTCCGGATGGCTGCCCAAATTCCAGATCCTGGGGGTGTCAGCAAAAAAATAAGAGAGAGGCAAACGAGTAGGCGGGACTTGGCACATCTTTCATGTGTCCTGGGACTTGGGGTGAGAAGGAGGGGAGCACGTGATTGTGAAAGACACGTAAACATCTGTAGTGGGGGAAAGAGGCAAAGAAACTGAGGGTCTGGGAGACGAGTCGATCTAAGAACCATCCTGGGTCCCTGTGCTTGTGGGTGGTCTTGAGGATTTCGGTAGCCAGGAAGTCCTCCTAAAACTTGTGCTCCCACCCAGATGCAGAGAGAGCTCTGTAGCTGCGACCAGTGCTGGGTCTCTGTGAGCCTGGAACAGCCTCTCGCTCCTAGCATTTTATCTGCTGATGATAGGATCTTAGTTCCCCTGGAATGCAGTGTTACGGACACCAGAACTGGATGGTTCCTATTAATCTTGACTGCCTGTGCATTTTTAAACTATTTGCTTAGCCACTTAAAGCCCTTTTCCAAATGGAATCACAACAAACCCCTGTACATCAAACACACTATAGTGGAGCAGGTTCGTTTGAAGCAGAAGAGGCAGCCCCCCTCCCCCGCACCCCGTGCCCTCACACCCCAAGGATTTAAGGAACACATTTGGAAAACCAGCCGTCTAGCTCACCCTCACCCATGAGCACACATCGCAGATAAGGTATCTGACGACTAAACATATCAAAGAGACAGCCACCCATACGTAAGCCTTTGTGTGTAGCCATAGGCACCCTAGTCGGAGAGGGTGTAAAGGGGAGGCAAAGTCTTTAATGGGGTCACTGTGGTGAATGACGGCATTAACACTGGCATGCAGGTGCTGCAAGGCTGTTTCCTGGATTTTCGTGCACACTCTCATTTCAGAGTGATTAATTGGTACAGGGAGCATAGATACGTGTGTTAAGAAGGACTCTGAGGACTTGCCTTGGGTCAGTCGCACACAGTATTGTAATTGACTGATGATGTTCGTCACGGGCACAGGAGAGAGTGTCATTGCAGGCCTATGAGGTCTCTAATGGCCCATCTGGAATAATTGGTCTGTAATTACCTAAAAAAGGGAACAAGTAGAGGCCCCCCCCCAAAAAAAAAAACCTGAGTCTTCCCTCTTCTTTCCTGCTCAACTCCAGGTGAGATGGTCTAGTGTAGGCTCTGGATCCAGGATGCATGTCTGAGTTTGGATGATGGCTCTGCGACTGGCTAGCTTTGACACCACCAACAATTTAAAACAATTCACTTAACCACTCTGTGCAAGGGCAAGGGGGGGATGATGATCAGGCCTATCTTAGGGGATTGTTGTCTGAATGAAGTGAGTTCATACCTATATAAAGTGCTCGGAAGAGTGGCCAGATAACTGCAGGCGTTCAGTGAGTGAAAGTTACTATTTATTATTATTAGGACATGGGGCAGATTTTGTGGACCAGGGGTTGCTGGGAAGGGACCCAGGGTCTGGGCAGATGGGTTCTCTTCACATATCCTTCCAAATCTTTCCACTGCTTCCAAGGAAAGACATGCCCCCCGGGGATGGTTTCCATGAATTCCTGAGTTGCATGCGTGGGATATGTGAGGTCTGCAAATTGTGTCAGAGCAAGAAGCTTGGAATGTTCTTGACATCAGAAGTGTTCGGCTGATAGAGTTAAGTGATTCTGTTTCTTTGGTAGGAATCGTTTCATAACTCTGTTTGGAGTGGTTTTTCATTTTTGTGTTTTCCTCCCTGGGTTTTGGATTTAACCAGAACCAGAGAAACCTCAGTGGAAATAAATAAAATCAATCTTTTGATATCTAAGATCTGCTGCTGTTTCATCCAGCTGCCTGACTTCCTCTAGCAAGTGGGGGCAACTTCATGGGCTTTTTTTTTTTTTCTTTTGTCTCTCTTCCTGTTTCTTCCCTAGGGACTTCTGATTCAGCAGCGACCTAGAGTAGATCCACTACTTGCTTGTTACTTGGTGTCTGATGAATGGGGCGGTGTGGGTCAGAAATGAGCCTGAGTGATGGGCAGGAGATGGGTCCCCCACTGTGAAAACAGAACCTTGGCTTGCTTAAGTGTCTTTCAAGAAATGGTGAATGATCAGTGGAACAGGATCCCAGGAGCCAGGACTCTTGGCTTTGTTCTGCAGGTTTATTTCAGATTTCCCCTAATATTAAACAGTTATAGACAGACTTGAAAGAGACATTGACATTTACTTTATTCCAACCCACTCTTCAAAAAATAAAAATAATAAAACGTAAAAGAATATCAGTGTGACAAAATCTCTAACTCTCATGTGCACATATGGTAGTAAAATTCAACGGAAATAGAGAAGGTGGGAAGGGGAGGAGGGGATGGGTAAATTCACACCTGACAGGTACAATGCACACTATCTGAGTGATGGACACACTTTCAACTTCAACTTGAACTGTATGAAAGTAATTCATGTCACAAACATGCTCGAACCCCCATAATATTCTAAAATTTAAAAAAGAACTTAAAAAATATTCTTACTGCTATATGATCTCCTATAATCCTCTTGGGGTAATCAACTTTATCCATGTACAGAGGCAAAAAACTGAGGCACAGAATGCTGTAGCTATTCCCCTGGGCCAACTGATCATGGCAATGCTGGTCCATGCTTAAATAATCACCATAGCCACAATCTCAGCGGCTTACTGCAACAGATATTTACTTTTTGTGCCACAGACTGATGTTGGTTAGGCAGCTTGCCAAAAGTGCTTTTTCTAAGGAGTGACTCAGAGATTCAGGCGGCTTGTGATTTACAGCTGTTGTTTGCAACATGTGGTCTCCAAGTTTACCAAGGCAAGAGGAGAGAGAGTTGACAGATTGTGCAGGATATTGTAAGGAATCACATGTAGAAGCAGCTTGCATCACCTCTGCCTATATTCCATTGGCTTTAACTCATCACGCAACTCCAGTAAAACTGCAAAGGAGACTGAGAGATGAAGAGGGACACGTGACTATTCGGTGAAGATGATTACTTTCTATCAGAATCTGTCCTTTGCTCACTTCCGTTCACACATAGAGAACACAATTAGCCCATCCCCAAGAGAGACAGGCCCAAGTTCCATTTAGTCGTTGTGTTGGTCTAAACGTACAGGGTCTCTTGACCAGGAGGAGCCCTCTCTTTCAGATGAGGAGATGGATCTACTTCGTCCAGTGACCTGTGAGCTAAAGTCAAATTACTTGCCCCTCACCCAGATTATCAAGCTTGAGAAGGACAGGGTGTTTGCAATCGACACCCCCACTTATGGAGGGGAAGATGGCAGACGCCCATGGCCAACACCTGGCGGCAAGCCTGCAAGCCCTCCAGGCAGAGGTGGTGAAAGCCCTCCACCCTTGATAAGGCTTTCTTCCTGGGAAGCTGTCCTGTCCCTTTGATCCTGGCTCCTGGTTGTCCTCAGGAGGCCGCTCCTTTTCCACTCTTCCCTTTGGCCTCCTCTGAAATGGGCTTTGAAGAGAGGCATGGTCTTCTTGGGGCTCTGCAGGCTTTGAGGACTGCTTGCTGTACTGTAGGGCTTGGAGTTTGTTTTCATCTTGACCTTTCCAGGCTCACTCATGGTTTCTTTCATTGACACTATAGTACAGTTCTTTCACTGCCTTGGTAGGCTTCTGATCTCTTTGCACATTGTCAACCCCACATGCCAGCAGCCACACCCACTTTCCTTTCTAGAACATGCTTCTCAATTTATTCTTCTGCTTTCTCTTCTCCTCTTTTATCCTCTCCTCTCCTCTTCTCTCCTCTTCTCTTTCTCTCTCTCGCTTTCTCTCCTCTTAATGAGGCTATTAGGCTTGAAGTAGTAAGGCTACAGCTTCAATCTGATTTTTGTCCTATGTCACCTCATCCAACTACGAGTTTTTTCCTTGACTTTTATCATGATTTTGTTTTTTTCATCCTTAAATACCTTTTCTTAATCTTTGGGACCTAGAAACAGACGGCTTTGCCACCAAGGTAAGGTCCTGAGTTTGGGGACTTTATTCTCTTTCATTTCTACTTTAAGTTCAGCTAATTTTTTCCTGAGCTCATCAGGATCAGCTCATCAGCTCATCTTGCAATACCTTAACAAATGTAGCCAAAAACAACCAACATACTACTAATGCATATTTTTCAAACTTTGTCCCTTGGAGCCACAGTTTCAGCAGTTGGGACCTGAAAACATTTTGATACCTCGTAGCATGAATCTCCATCTTTTCAACCTGGGGTATCAGCTTCCTCGCTGTCTGCTACTGAATGTCTAGTCAGTGCTACACATTTCAGGTTTTTAATGCCAGTGCATGATCATGGTACCAGTTCTTCTATTAATCAAGGTTAAGCTAGGCTCCAAACTTCAGTGGCTTAACACATCAAATGTTTAATTCTTTCTCATGTCACAGCTCAGGATAGGCGAGGTGGCTGTCCTGTAAGCAGTGGCCAGTGACTGGGGACATGGACTGCTTTCACCTTGCAATTGAGACATATGGAACACATTGCCCCCAAGGTAGCCACAGCAGAGGAAGAGAGGGCTGGAGGTATGAGTTATTTATAGGCACAAAGCGTGAAAGCGAATTACATCCTTTTAGTGCTCACCCAATTGGTTAGAATTCAGTCACATGGCCCTCCCAAGTGAATGCTATTTACTCTTGAGTTTCTTAGGCTGGAGGACATAGAGGAGCACTTGGATGCCTGGTGGGCATTTATAGTCCCTGCTACTTCAGGACTGGTGCATGTCCTACAGCCAAGTCTAGCAGGTGGGAAAGTTCCAGAAAAAGACACTCTTTATGTCTAAGTCAGAGGTCACAGGTCAAGCCCAGAGACTACATTGATCTGAAAAAGATAGCATTGGGGAACCTGAAAGTGTACCCACGGCTGGTCCCTAGACATGGCTGAGAGCTAGCAAAAAAGGTGGATGGATCATCCTCCCCACTCAACACCTCCATACCAAAATCTTTATCGATGATGCCTGGAAACCTGTGTTTTTATTATTATTAGTGTTTAAATGATGTTAATGCCAATATGGGAGCCACTGATCTACTGTACATGTAAATTATATGGAGACCTCCTCAGGCAAAGTAACTTGTCCAAGTTTACTAGGCACACTAGTGGCATAACCAGTCTAATCTATGAATCCCAGTGAACTCGATGCCTGGTTATGTATCAGCTTCCCTTCCTGGTCATGAGATTTCTTCTAATTCTCTGTGCCCATAGAGGACAAGAGCCCCCAGGCCTGCACGAAGACAAATGAATTTAGAATTCCTTGGGAGTGAAAAGACAAGGTTTGACAAAGACAGTTGGAGCAGATTCTGTTTGGGCTTGGGCACCCAGAGCCCTTCTCTCCTTGCCTGTCCTCCTGTCCGACACCCTGCTTAATATCTGCCTGTGCGGGGGGCTTGCTGTGTCTCATTAGGCTGTAACATCTATTCTTCTCCCTTCCTAATGCTGTCTGCCTCTTGGTCGTTCTCTCCTGGAATTTGAAAATACACCCCTTATTGGTGTGTGAAGTTAAATAATTCAAGCATAAAGCTGTTCAAACTTTAAATTATTCTGAGCCTTGAGAGGAATGTGGCTATGTAACCTGAGTTGCCTGACATGCAGCTACAACTTCTGCCCTTTTTTTTAAATACATATAAATAATTAGGAAAACCAAGCAACACCAGAGATAAGACCCCTCCCTCTGCAGAGAGCAATAAAGTAATAAAGTAATCTTCCTTGGAATGTATCGATCTGTAACCAAGCAAGTTGCTCTGGCATATGCACCTGGTCTTGCATGGAAAATGTTGCAATTCTATTGGAACTACTCTGTCTTCTGCCTACAGATTGAAATCTTACCCTTTCCACTTTGGAAACACAGACTCCAAATAAATAGACTCCGTTCATTTGGAGTCTGTGTTTCTCAAGTGGCTATCCTCAGGCTTTGCACTTGAATAAGCCCTAAAGGCAATCGTATTTTCTGAATCTCATTAGTTAGGGCTGGCCTTGGTGCGTGGGGATGAGGACTGTGGGCTGGAGAAGAGGGAGAAAGTGCTGTTGGACCTGGCCTGAGCAGCAGTGGTGGCAGTGAGTGGTCACTATAGATTGTCTGCTTACCTCTGAGGTGTCTGATATCACCTGACACCTTGGGATATTCAGCTGGTGCTTTGATGGAAATCCTGTCTCCTTCAAGCTCAGCTTGAAGGAATCAGGGGTTTGTCCATATCCTGTACTGGGTGCAGGACCTTCTCAATTCCCCACTGGAGAGATGGAAGTTTCTTTTTAAGGCACATGGTTTCCAGATGGGGAAGAGAACGTTCAAGGTCATCTGTTGGTCCCCAGCCTGATTTCTCAATGCAGATGATGTTTGTATTCTTCTGGGGTAGGGGGTTGATTAGAAGGGGAAAACCAGCCATTCACAAGGCTGATGTAACAGATGAGGGGAGAGACTTCTGGGTAGGGCGTGGGGTGCTGAGTGAAAGAGAGGCTTTGGTAAGGAAGAAACGGTATTTGAGCAAGTGGCTGAAGCTGCTGGCAGACCTGGAGCTGCTGGCTCAGCCTGGCCCTGGCTGTCCGTCTGTCCATGACACGCAGGCGAGTCCAGGCTAGGGGGAAGCCCCCGGGTGCCCATCAGATGCTTGTTCCTCCACAGTGCCAGTCCACCCTCTGCAGCCATGCCCGCTTCCCTGTCACCCCGTTGCCTTCCCACCTCCAGCTTTATTTTATCCTTTAAAAAAACACCAAAGTCAGGTGTCATGCAAAACTATATTTTATGAATTTAATAAAAATTAAAGATTCATACATATAAATATATTTAATTCTATAATAACATGGTTTCATAGGAACATCACCTGCTAACATTAAAAAAAAAAGAACAACTAACTTTGCATCGATTCTTGCAAGGACCTACCTAAAAACATCAAGAGGTAGAGAGGGGAGTGGCATCCCACAGTGTTTATAGGTCTGAAGTGACATGATGGGTCCAAGGCTTTACAGTTAAAACTCCCCAAGATCAATGATGGATTAAATTAAAATATTAACTTTCAAACACATTGAAGAAAAACTATGGTTCACATTATTACATAATTCCTTAAATTATAATAAATTAATATCAGAACAGCCCCCAGAAAGGATGGGAGACACAGATTGCTTCTGGAGTCATGGCTTGGTTTCAGTTCAGGCATCAGTGGTCAAAGGCACTGGAGTTCGGGTTTGCTTGTCCAGATACGCGATGGCATCCTGCACCCACTTCTGCGTGGGGTCGGTGCAGACCTCCCTGGCCAGTTTGGTCGTGAAGCTGTGGGGAAAGGGGCACGGTGAGATGGAGTATCTTGAAGATTTGACCTGGGGCTAGAACCTGCTCTATGGGAAGCCTGCCTGGCCCTTTAGCCCAGAGGATGGGGGAGCCTTGGGACAGAGGAGGAAGATGACAAGACAGAGGAGGAAGATGACAAGATAGAGGAGGGAGCCTCAGGCAGGCAGTCGCTGACCCAAATGAAGCCCCCTCTTGGCTCCTGGGTGAAGGAACTGAGATCAGAACCAATGGCTGAAAAAGGAGCTAGGAGCAGAAGTCACTTTCTTTTCTTGGATTCAGTTTTTTCCACTGGTTTCAGTTTTTTCAATTCCAGAATTGAGTTAGAGATGGTCTAAGCATCTGAGTGCTTGACCCGAGCCCATTCGGATGCTAGCCCTACCCACTGCCACAGGGAGGAACTTGGGAGTGAGGGTCGAGGGTGGGCGGTCCTGGGTCACTCACATCACAGCTTCCTGGGGACACAGGGTGCTGGTGATTTGTTGGTAGCTCCTCAGCCTCTGGATTGGGATCCTCTTGTTGAACCTATAGCAGCAGGTGGTTGGGGTATTAACCGCATCTGCAATGAAACAATGACAAGGAAAGGCTCTTGAGGGTGTGTTCTGGGTCTTTCTATTTGCAAAGTAGGAAATGGTAAGAAGGTGTTAGAGAGAAAGCTGCCCACCCCACGTCCGATGTCTCTGCCCTTTGAGATGGTCCTCAAAATCCCTCTCGTTTTCGTGGACTATGGAGTAGGAATGCATCACCCATAACAGGTGGAAGAGAAACTGAGAAAATGCACGGTGTTGCTAGGAAGGGCTAATAGGTCCAATGCTTTAGGGCACGGGGACCCCAGCTCTGGGTCCCTTTTAGGCTCAGAGTAGTCTGTGCCTGGTTGTGAGTTACCCCAATACCCACTCCCCCGCAGAGCCGCTGCCTCTGGAAGCTGGGCTGAATGAAGGTTACACCAGGTTCTGTGTCTCCTCTCCCCTGGCCCCTGCCTGCACACCCACCCTAGACACCCCTTCTCTTTGATCCCCCTGGTCCCCAGACTCTGCTGGAAAGCAGCCGGGCAGTAGCTGCACTGAGGGTGTTCCCAGGGCTGGGGTCCTGGGAGGAGCGGGACGTGGAGTCCCCAGCTGGACTTGTAGTTCAGGCTCTGTCTGGGAGCAGCTGTGAGATCTGACTCGGTCCTTGTCCTTCTCTGAGTTGCCTTATCTCGGAAAAGCAGCTGTGAAGGCGAGACTGTGGGTACCCCTCCTGCTAGGAGGGTCCACGATGCCCCAGAGAGGGGGCAGTGCGCTCCAAGGCGGGGGAGGAGCGCCCTTACCTGGCTGAGCAAGGCCCTGGGGGCTGAAGGCAGCGGCCACTAGCAGCAGGCACAGGAGGGCAGCAGAGACCTTCATGCTGGAGGGCGAGAGGCGAGCGGTGAGCTGTGAGCTTCCGCGGGAGAGTTGGAGGTTTCTGGGTTGATCTCAGCCTCTCTGCTCCCCGGGTGGCTCTGTCTGCTCCTCAGGTGGCTCTGTCGCTGTCTTTTATAGACAGGAGGAGAGAAGGGGGTGGGACGAGAGGCCTCTGTTATTCCAAATGAATCACTTAATGGAGTAGCAAATCTGCCCTCCCCTGGGGAAAATGATAGGAAACCGAGAGAGGAAAGCATGAGTCAAAGGTGGCTCGCTTTTCACCGAATGCCAGGGTGAGGGATCTGTCTGGGCAGATCGCAGCGTGTGATCTATGGCTATTATGTACAGCTTAGCTTCTTTGAAATGAAACACTTGTTCTGTAGAAAAAGGAAGGAAGCAGGGATGCCAAGGTCGAGGAGTTGCAAGTGATTCCCCGTCCCCCAACCCCCCCCAACTTCCCTTTCAGGCAACGCCAGGACCTCAGACTCCACAAAGAGGCATGGAACCTTTAGCTGGAATCTACAATGGACTCAAAGATTTTTCACCATCGTGCATCCTGGTGACTGTCGAAAACCCAGAGAAAAATAGAACAATAGCAGAAAAATAGAGAAAAGCATTTTTAGAATAACGGTACTTAAAACAGTAGTGTCTATTCTAATAATCTATTGCTGCATTAACAACCTTTCTGGAAAGGGTGACTTAAGACACGAACAATAATTTATTTTGCTTTTGAATATGAGGGTCAACTGGCCTCCGCTAGGCAGGGCTTGCTCAGGGTCTTTCACGTCTTTGCAGTTAGATGACGGCTAAGATTGGGGTCACCATGAGGTCTTCAACCAACACGTGGGATTTGGGCTGGGAGAACATAAACAGCTGGCAGTTAGACCAGATGGAGTTACTGGGTTGGTCTCTCTCTCTCTCCCTCCCAGTGGTCCTTCCACATGGCTAGATATTTTACATGATGCCTTAAGGATTCCAGGTGCAAGTAAAGGGAATATAGACCACATCTCTTAATGGGAGAAATATATATAAAAAAAATTACAGATATGTTTTAAAACCACTGTCTCTTTCATGTGCTATCAGAACCGCATGGCATATAAAGACCTTAGGATGCTGTGGTTTTAAAAACTATCTGATTAGCTATGAAAATATTTTTTTTAAGGAAAAGAATACAAAGAAGTGAAATTCATGAACAAAATCAGAGTACCCTCAGTTTGAAACACGGACAAGAGACTTCATATCTCCCTCCCCACACACAAACTCAGAGACACAAAGTATAGATTTTGGAGACCACTAATCTAGTTTCCCATCTCACACACACACACACGTTACAAGATGACCAACTAATTGTTGATGGTATTAATGAAAAGGGGTTTGATGAGAGACCATGAGTGGCCTCCTCATACCTGTAGCTGGATCACCCATGCTGGGCATGGGATGCAAAGGAAGAAAATTCTTCAGTGGGTGAGACTGGAACACTTTACAACCTCGAACACTACTAATTTGGAAGCAATTCGAGGCTTTGATGCAAGGCTTGAGCTTTACATCCAGTTGATTCTCACCTCTGTTGACTTTGCTCAGGCTACTCACTCTATTAGCTCTTTTTCAAATTGCTATTACCCCCAGTCCTAGAAACTGGTGAAGATTCAACCTACTTCCTTATCTATGGAGTCCCAGCCCACTCTGATGTAACACTTTATAGCGGAATATTTTCTAACCCAGTGTGTGTGTTTCATCTGTTTAGTGCTTCTAAGAAGCAGAACTCATTCTTTCCATTGATTTTTTTTTTTATCTCGAAGACAGCTGTCATGGATATAACCTGCTGATGACCTACAAACTGGGAGTAGAACACAGGGGTCCTGCCCAGAAATCACATTTTCTGGATGGGCTTGGTTAGTAGGTCAAGGAAGTACTCATGGGCTACAGTTGCTGCAGCCCCTCTTCTTCATAAATCCCTAAACTCAAGTCCCCCAAGATGCCCCTGCCTAACACCCCAGAGAAATGCCTACCTGTTTTCATCATGAAAAAGGCTGTACTTGTCACATCCATGGGAGCTGGGAATGAGAAAAATAAAAGAGGCTGTCGAACTATTGCAGAATTTGCTAAGAAACTTTTTAATGATTTAAAGACCTGATGGCAAAATTAGAAACACTTAAAAAAAGAGAGGACAAAATCATCTTGCATTACCACTAACACCCAAAGATATGTGGTTAATTTTCTTTTAGATTAAAAAAATATGTCAATCCTTTATCACTATGAATATTCTTCTTTGTCTCTAGTAAAATTTTTTGTCTTAAAATCTATTTCTCTGATATTAGCACAGCCACTAGCTCTCTTTTGGTAACTGTTTGCATGGGGTAACTTTCACTTTCAAATTATTTGAGTTTTTAAATTTACAGTATATAGCTAATAGATAGCATATAGTTGGTTTATATTTGAAATCCATTCTCCCAAGCTTTGCCTTTAGTTATAAAGTTTAATCCTTTTACATTTAGTGTAATTAATGATAAGGTAGGATTGTCATCTGATTTTTTTTTGTTTTCCATATGCTTATATCTTTTTTGTTCCTTAATTCTTCCTTTACTGATACATAGATCTTTTTAGTGAACCATTTCATTTCCTTTATCTTTTATTATGTATTTTGAGTTTTTTCTTAGCAGTTACCCTGGGTATTACCATTAACATCATAATTTATAACAACCTATTTCAGATTAATACCATTTTAGTTTCAATAATATACAAAAACCTTGATCCTTTTATAGCTCCATTCCCTTCCTTATCTTAATGTTGTTGTGGTCACAAATTATACCTTTACATATTGTGTTCCCTGCAACATAGATTTATAAGTATTGGTTTATGCATGTGTATTTTAAATCAGATACAAGAAAGAAAAAGTAGTTATAAACAAACAAAAAACATGTGTACTGCTACCAATAATCTAGCTCTCACCAATTGGATATAAGCAGAAGTTACATATACCATCTCTGAGAGGAAGTAAATAGCCATCCTGTGGTTCCACCATGGGGCTCCCCCTTCCCCCTTAACTATGAGGACGGCATGACCCAGATGAGGTTGTCCCTTCAACCTGGATCTCATACTGAAGAAGATATATGGAACAGAGAAACAGCAAGGTTTATAAGATGTGAAGAAAGGATGATGCTAACACTGGGGGAAGCTAAATGAGGAATATACAAGACCCTCTGTACTATTTTTGCAACTTTTCTATAAGTCTACCATTTGTTCAAAATTCAAAGCTTAAAATACAACATTAAAAAAACTTACAGGATATAGAGAAATCTATGCTAAGTGGGAAGTATATAGCTGTAAATGCTTACATTAGGGAAGAAAAGATTTCAAATCAATAGTCTAGCTTGATACCTTGAGGAGCTCAGAAATAGAGCAAACTAAACCCAAAGCTAGTACAAGAAAGAAAATAATAGAGATTAGAGCAGCGATAAATGAAACAGAGAATTTCAAAAATAGAAAAAAAAATCAATGACATGAAGAGTTGATTTTTTGAAATGATCAACAAAAATGACAAACCCTTAGCTAGATTAACTGAAAAGAAAATAGAGAAGACTCCAATAACTAAAATCCAAAATGAAAGAGCGGACATTACAACTGAGCTGCAGAAGTAAAAAGGACTATTACAGAATACTGTGAATATTGTATGCCAACAAACTGTATAACCTGGAATAAATGGATAAATTCCTAGAAACACGTAGTCATGAAGAAATAGAAAATCTGAACAGACCCATAACTAGTGAAGGGATTGCATCAGTAACAAAAAATACCTCCCAACAAAGAAGAACTCAGAACCAGATGGCTACACTGGAGAATTCTACCAAACATTTAAATAAGATTTAACACCAATACTCCTCAAACTCTTCCAAGATATCAAAGAGGAGAAAACATTTCCAAAGTTATTGTAGGAGGCCAGGAGTACCCTGATAGCAAAGCCATATACAAAGACACTGCAAGAAAAGAAAACTGCAGGTAAGTATCCTTGATGAATATCGATGCAAGAATCCTCAACAAAATGAATGGCCAGTAAGCATTTGAAAACGTGCTCAACATCACCAATCATTAGAAACATGCAAAGCAAAACCACAGTGAGGTACCACCTTCCCCCATTAGGATGGCTAGTATCAAAAAGACAGAAAATAACAAATGTTGACAAGGATTGTGGAGAAACTGGAACACCTGTGCACTGTTGGTGGAAATGTCAAATGGTGCAGCCATTATGGACAACAGTATGGCATCCACAAAATATTAAAAATAAAATTACTCTATGATCCAGCTAGCAATCATACTTCTGGGTATATATCCAAAACAACTGAAAGAAGAATCTGGAGGAGATATTTGTGTATCCACATTCGTAACTGCATTATGTGCCATAGCCAAGAGATGCAAGCACCTAGTTGTCCATCGTGGAATGAATGAATAAACAAAATGTAGTGTATGTATATATACAATGGAATATTATTAAGTCTTAAAAAGGAGGAAAATCCTGTTACATGCTACAATATGGATGAACCTTAAGGATATTATGCTTAATGCAATAAACCAGTTACAAAAAGACACACATTGTACGATCCCACTTAGATAGGTATCTAAAGTAGATAAATTCATAGAAAAAGAAAGTAGAATGGTGGTTTCCAGGGGCTGGGCAATGGGGAAATTGTTAATACCCATTGTTTAATACCCAGTTTTGCAAGATTGAAATGTTCTAGAAATCTGTTGCACAACAATGTTAAGTATATTAAGATGAACACTACTGAAGTACACACTTAAATATAATAAATATAATAAATTTTATTATGAGTTTTTTTAACCACAATTTAAAAAATAAAAATTATAAAAAAACAGAGACAATGAAGCCTCATAGGAGTGAATTTTATAGCCTCCAAATAATAGATTGATGGTACTTTGAATAAATGAAGTGTTCAATTTACACAGCCATATACAAGGTAGAATAGGAAGAAGACAACTGCAATAAACACTCTCATTGCACAAGTGGACAGGGAGACACCAGCAGTGACTGGTTATAGCAGTTCTGATACAGCGCTGGGTAGGCACTGGGGGGCCCTT